TACTGTGTATAATCAGCTAGGAGCCAGTGCAGCCCAAGTGGGGCAGTTTGTTTGGCACAAAGCTGGAGGTGACAAAGTGGGGGGGTTTGTGTGGAGAAAGGCTCAAGGACTACAGAGACTGGATAGCCAGAAGGCTGGAAAACGTCTGTTTTGTTGTTGTTGTGCTGAAAACACGCACAAGGTTAACCTTTCTTGAGTTTTTTAATTGTACTTTTAAATAAAAGTAGGCAAAAACCCTGAAATGTACTTCACTGACTGGACTGAAGGTGATGAAAAGCACTACATCTGAGTGAATCACCCACCCAAAAAACATTTGCTGCCTTTCTCCTGTGAATACATATATTTGCATACAGAACAGCAACCCTCCCTTCTTCTCATTCCTTTCTTTTCTGCTGTGAGAGTAAAGGGGAGTGGTGGCTGTGTGTAAACACCGCCAGTATTTACACTTGCGATCACTGTGATTGGTTTAGGCTGTTTATACATCTTAACAGAGCAAGTTTTAGGCATTTTAATTTGAGGATTTTGAAGTATTGTATTAGCATATTTCATTCTGCATGTGTACTCAAGCTTCTTGCATATTTGTTCTGGTCAATGAAAAGCACTGGGGGGGGCAGTTCAAAAATACTAAAACAACCCTGAGATATGCCTGTATATATGATAAAAAAATGCTTTTACAGCCATTCCCATTGAAATATATGGGACTGAGAATTGCCAAATATGCCTTAAAAGTAGCTCATGTAGGTTTTAGAGTGCCAGGCACTGAGCTACAGAGGTCTGAGCTCTTTTGTGTGAATGACCACTACTGGGATTTTGGATGTTGAAGGCTTTGAGCTACAAAATACTTGGGTGTGAATGGAGCCTTAAGGATGACATGATATATGCATTCATGAAGTGTCAAAATGTACTACAAACATATTACTTTAGGTAAAATTGTCTTATGCAATTACCACTGATCTTAGTTTAAAACAGAAAACCTTTACATTTAATTTGCAACAGATGGGGGAATTTACTTCCCCACTGGACTCATTACTTTGGTCTGCCACATATGTATCAGTTTAGTATTGAAGACAGTTTTGATGCAAAACTTCACAAAGTAGATTATAATGTACATTCCATGTGGCCAGTTAGAGCACAGACTTTGAACTGGAACCAAATAAGTTGCTATGAAGTTTATTCAAGATAATACATTGCTCAAAACAAAGGAACACTTCGAAAACACATCCGATCCCAATGGGGAAAAATATCATGCTAGATATCTATTCTGATATGAACTGGGTAATATGTTAGGAACAAAAGGATGCCCCATTGTTTGATGGAAATGAAAATTATCAACTTACAGAGGACTGAATTCAAAGACACCCCGGAAAATAAAGTGAAAAAATTATGCAGCAGGCTAGTCCATTTTGCTGACATTTCATTGCAGCAACTCAAAATGGTACTTAGTAGTTTGTATGGCCCCCACGTGCTTGTGTTGTATGCAGTGGCGTATTTAGGCTTTGTGCTGCCCTGGGCAACACAAAAATTATGCGCCCCCCCAATGAGAGAGCGAGAGAGTTCAATGAGTGTGTGTGTGTATATATATGATGCTCTACCTCTCTTCTCTCTCTTCCCTCTCTCTTCTGTCTCTCTTCTCTCTCTTCCCTCTCTCTTTTCTCTCTCTTTCATAGATCCTATGGGACTGTATACAAACACACAGTTTAATCCCCTCCCCCTACCTCCTCCAAGGGCTGCTGATCTCCGGGCAGCAGGAAATGTGGAAATATGGGCAGGGGGTGTTAATTGCACTGTGAGTGTACAGTCCCATACGATCTATCAGTGTCTCATGTGCTGAATGAACGATAGGAGGGAGAGCCCAGAGAACACAACACAGCTCACCTCCTCCTTGCTCTTTCCTCTCTTCTCCTCTCCCTGCTCCAGGCTGTCCCCTGGTCCTGGCTCTGATTACGGATGGGGGAAGGAGCTCAGTGGAGAGCGGCCACTCAGGAACACCAGGGCACCCCGTCGATCTGGCCAGGTCTGTCTCTCCCTCCTGCAGCAGAAAGCCGACAGGAGAGAGAGAGGGGGAGAAACCTCAAACCGGCTTTCAGCTGCTGGAGGGAGAGATAAACAGGGCATCATTCTGCAACTGCTCTCACCCACCACACCGATCCTCCTGCTGTCCGGGCCACCTACAGGAGTACCAGTGGTACCCCTCAGATGGCGGCCCTGCATGGCTCTGTCCGATGCTGCTCACCAGGTCCCGTCTTCCGGGGGGGTGGTGCCACCCGCCCTAGACAAACTCCTTATTTGCCTCGCAGTAGATATGCCCCTGGTTGTATGCATGCCTGACAACGTAGGGGCATGCTCCTAATGAGACGACGAATGGTGTCCTGGGGTATTTCCTCCCAGATCAGGACCAGGGCATCACTGAGCTCCTGCACACCTGGCGGCGTCAGATGGACCAAAACATGATGTCTCAGAGATGATCTATTAGATTTAGGTCAGGCGAGCATGGGTGCCATTCAGTGGTATAAATGTCTACATCCTCCAGGAACTGCCTGCATACTCTCATCACACATGAGGCATTGTCGTGCACCAGGAGGAACCCAGGACCTACTGCACCAGCATAGGATCTGACAATGGGTCCAAGGATTTCATCCCGATACCTAATGGCAGTCAGAGTTCAATTGTTTAGTCTGTAGAGGTCTGTACATCCCTCCATGGATATGCCTCCCCAGACCATCACTGACCCACCACCAAAACAGTCATGCTGAACGATGTTACAGACAGCATAACATTCTCCATGGCTTCTCCAGACCCTTTCACATCTGTCACATGTGCTCAGGGTGAACCTGCTCTCATCTGTGAAAAACACAGGGCGCCAATGGCAAACCTGCCAATTCTGGTGTTCAATGGCAAATGCCAATCAAGCTCTATGGTGCTGGGCAGTGAGCACAGGGCCCACTAGAGCACATTGGGCCCTCAGGCCACCCTCATGAAGTCTGTTTATGATTGTTTGGTCAGAGACATTCACAGCAGTGGCCTGCTGGAGGTCATTTCGTAGGGCTCTGGCAGTGCTCATCCTGTTCCTCCTTGCACAGAGGAGCAGATACCGGTCCTGCTGATGGGTTAAGCACCTTCTATGACCCTGTTCAGCTCTCCTAGAGTAACTGCCTGTCTCCTGGAATCTCTTCCATACTCTTGAGACTGTGCTGGGAGACACAGCAAACTTTCTGGCAATGGCACATATTGATGTGCCATCCTGGAAGAGTTGAACTGCCTCTGCAACCTCTGTAGGGTCCAGGTATCGCCTCATGCTACCAGTAGCAACACTGACCCTAGCCAAATGCAAAACTAGCAAAGTCAGAAAAGATGTGTAGGGAAAAAAATGTCAGTGGCCTCCACCTGTAAAATAATTTCTGTATTTGTATTAGAACATGGGATGAGGGATTTGGAACTGACCTATTAACCTTCTGTTGAGATAGGACTGTGAATGTAACAAACATTCATTAAGGAGTTATGTTTCATTCATTTTGCACCATTCAGATCCTTGAAAAAAGTTTTTTTAACCAGTGTATGCTAACATGTTATACAAGCATCCTACAGGGTCAACTACATAAGCACAAATAATGCAGAGCAGTAGGCCAAGGCCAGAAAAGCACAGGCAGTAGGGAGAACTAACAGTTTTCAACAGCATTTCCAGCAATTACCTCCACAAATGCTGGCATAATCAGCTCTGTGGAGTCATATTTTAAGAATGAGAAGATATACACATAAATTAAGTGAAATATGTTCTGTTAGTGAAAGGGAGGATCCTGACATGCATCCTTCCCTCTCCCATTCACAGAACATGTTGCATTATGTGAAAGGAACACAAGAGGTTTCTTAATTAAAGAGCAGCTTTCACAGCCACAGCCACTGCTCTTAACACACATAATGCATGAGGTCCACAGCTGCCAGAAGGGCATGACATTAGTAAGAAGCAATCAGCAGGACACCCTTTAACCACTTGCCGTCCGGCCGCTGTATATAAATGGCCGGACGGTGGCAGTCCAGGGGCGGGTTGCCGTTCATAAACGGCGCCTGCCATTATGGACTGTGCGCGCTCCCTGGAAGCACGCAGCACCGCGATACAGTGGAACACCGATCGTCGTACGGGACCTCTGTGCGAGGTCCCGATCATGTGATCACTGATTGGCCAATCAGTTATCACATGCAGTGTAGTAAGCAAGATGGCACTTCTGACATCATTGCTTACTACGTGTGAAATCTGTGAATGATCACAGAGGTCACATGGTACAAGGCTATTCACAACAGCCTTATACCATGTGACAAGCAGCTCACAGTAGTTCTCAAAGGCTGCAGGAATGCAGCTAGAGAGAAGGAGAAATTATTGCTTTTACAGCCTTTATGGGTGTAAAAGAAATCAGTGTAAAAAAAAAAAAAAAAAATCTTCATCACCCCCCCACAAGTAGTAGAGTGTCACCATGGTGACACTGTACTGCTAGGGTGACAGTATGTAGAAAAAAAAAACAAATAATAATATAAAGAAATAAAATAAAAATGTAAAAAAAAATTTAAAATTATAATTTTTGGTTATAAACTAATTTTTTTTTTTTACTAAAAAGATAACTGAATAAATTTTGGCCAAGATTTATGATGAAATATTATTTATTTGCAAAATTTTATAAGAAAAACACTTTTTTTCAAAATTTTTGGACTTTTTCATTTATATAGCAAAAAAAAAAATCCCGGTGGTGAATAAATACCACAAAAAAAAAAGCTTTATTTGTCTAAAAAAAATGCTAAAAAATTAATATGTGTACAGTGTTGCATGACCGCGCAATTGTCATTCAAAGTGTGATAGCGCTGAAAGCTGAAAAGTGGCCTGGACAGGAAGGGAGTAAAAGTGTCCAGACTGGAAGTGGTTAATAGAAGTAACTCTCTCTATGTTAGCAGTGTCAAGAGCCAATGTGATGTATGGGGAACCCTATCCAACATCACTCAACTTATCAATGTTTTCATGCAAGATTCACATAACTGTTACTTATCTGCCAATTTTTATAATTGGATTCAACTAAAATAATATGTGAATCCTGGATGAAAATTGCATGAAAATATAAATAGGCTATTTGACGTCTCTGTTTTCTGAAATTTACCTTTGAATATGCAGCAGCTTGCCTCAGAATATCAAGCCCAGCATCTGAGAGCTCATCTCCTCGTTCTTGGGACTCTGGAGAGTAATAAAAGATAACAAAATAATAAGTATTACAAGATCTTGCAGAGTCATTGCAGAATGAAACAGTTTAGCTGCCTACAGATGCCCAAAGGTGGTTGGCCTATTTGCACCCAATATATCCAATGAATATTCATGCTAACAGAAAATAATTCCCTAAAAGTGAACATTTCCAGAGGGCAAACATACCAGTTCATGCTTATGAAGCAGTGGTTGGGTCATAATAAGGCAGCACAGTGTATTCATGGTTTTTGTGCAGATTACCCATGCTTTGCCATAGACTTCCAGTAGATGCAGGCAGGCCTTTTGGTGTGCTTTCAGAAAACACGCCAAAACAACCCAACCTAATGGAGGTCTATGACAAAGTGTGGGTAACTCACACAAAAAATGCAGGTACACTGCCCTGCACTTATGCAGTGGGGTAACTGCTCTAGATCAGTGTAAAAGAGGCCTTAGTGGTTTGTCTTTTTTGAAGGGAGGAACATATAATTTCTGAGTACAGACTATACCTGTATATCAGGGGAAGTAATATCACCCAAACCGTCCTCTCCGCTCCTCCCATGATCTCCTGCTCTCTAGCTCTCCTCCTCTCATGCTCATCTTCCAGGACTCCATCCTCCGGAACTCTCTACTCCAATCTATCCAACTACTGCCTACTCTGCTTACTTTTAGGCGATCTTTGAAAACCTATCTCTTTAGGGAAGCCTGTCATGCCTTCAGCAAATAACCAAATCTTCTTTTTCTCCCATCAATTTGTCCCCCACAGTTATTATCTTTTGTACCACTAGCCCCTCCTTCTTAGATTGTAAGCTCCAAGGAGCAGGGCACTCCTAACCCTCTTGTATTGAACTGTATTCTTGCTGTATTATCTCCCTTTACATTGTAAAGTGCTGAGAGAACTGTCGGTGCTACAGTATATAAATCCTGTATAATAATAATCATAATAACTATGTCTCATTAATGTGATCTACCTAATATTTTCAATATCCACAAGACATTAATTATTTGAGGTACTTTTAAGACAGGTTGAATATTATATGTGTTAATCTACAATATACTTCTGATTTTATCCCATTTAGGTGTGATCTGGCCAAGCAGACATGATGGATCTTTCATGAGCTCTCTTTATCTTTTTAGACAGACGTTCGTTTTTTAGGCGCTTGGAGAAAAGCAGACTCACACTGAAGCTGATGGCAGCCTGTTTAGAAAAATCGCTTTTTGTCTAAATATAGTACATTCTTTTGTAATTCCTCATTTCTCTCATTCCTTAATGAAGAACTTTGTTTTTAGGTATATGTTTATTTCTCTGTCATTAGATGCAATGCAGAACTTCTACATAGGTATTTTACTCTCTCTTGCACGCATAACATACAGTTATACTTGAAAACAGAAAACCCTTTAATATTTAATTTGCAACAGATGGGGGTTCTACTTCCCCACTAGACACATTACTTCGGCCTGGCACATATAAATCAATTTAGTATTGAAGACAGTACTGATGTAAAACTACACGAAGTCGAGTATAATGTACATTCCATGTGGCCAGTTACAGCACAGACTTTGAACTGGAACCAAACAAATTGCTAAGATGTTTATTTAAGATAACATAATTGGTAGCTCCAAAGTTTCTTACTTTTTAATGAGTTAGAAGGTCTTTATGTAAACCAGATTTAATCAACTCTGGCCAATTTGATTAGCCAGACTAATGGCTTAAATGTATTATACTAAATATGCTGCATATACTTTATTATATACACTCTATTAGCCATCTAATGCGATAGGACTGTGAATGTATGTAACCCACATTACTAATATGTTGTATTTTTTCATTTTGGATCATCCAGATCCTTGGGGAAATCCTTTTTTAACCAGTGTATCCCCCCTTGTTATACAAGCTTCACTGCACTCATAATACAAATGGCAGCATTAATCCACCTAATTATCTTTCAGTAAGTTACTAGTTTATAATTAATGCACTTGTGTCCAATTGCTTTCCATTACTTTTCTAATGGAAGGCCAGCTCTAACATGTAAATATGAAATAAAAGAAAGATATCTACAAATGAATCACTGCTTTATTCTTACTTGGTGGCTGTAACATGGTGCTGATAGCATGGACCACACCATTCGTTGCCATCAGGTCTGCTTCAGAAACACGCTGTTTGTTGACATGTAGTGTGGAGTTTTTCTGTAAAAACATCACAGGGTTAAACTACAAGAACAGTTACTTTGGAATGGTGTCACGTGGAATATGTAATGTCTGATATCACTGACTTGTAAGCAATTTTCTAAAGAAATATGGGAAAGAAAGAGTAGCACTGTGAAATGGGCTTCTCTTGCAAGGAGGATGTTTTTTTCATGCTGAAATAGTTATTTAACTTGGCCATTTAAACATCAGCATAGTATAGCCTCCAGTAATAAAAGTGAAAAAAAAAAAATGACTGAATTGGTTACTCTCCATAATATGACATATATTGTATTTGTATATGGCATAATATTGTCCTACTCTCTGGATGTTGAAATATGTGATATATGTTAAACTAAATGTAAACTCTCACCTTAAAACAACCCATTCAGTTTAAATTAGAAATGAAAAAGTAAAATATTTGTATATAGATAATCAAAATACCCTTTTTTTTCCCCTTTGTTATAAGTGATCACATACCCTCTGTTCTCAGCTGCATAAGGCACTCAGGGAGGAGAAACAGCACCACACTGATCTTCCCAGTGAATGGCTGTGCATTGGGGGGGGGGGGGTGACGTGTCAGCGCAAGTGTAATCTCGATTAGAGGAGAGCAGGCTCAATTTCCAGCTCAGCCAGAAAACTGACCATGCTGTGCTCTCATGCCCAGTGTGGTCGGTTTTAATAGGAAAGCAGAGGACTGGCAGGCTCACCAGGGATTTCGCACAAAGGAAGCAATACAGAGAGAAAACAGGATACATTTTCATACAAGTAGAGTACATGGTACAGCAGGCACATATCAGAATATGGAATGTTGGGTTTACATATTCTTTAACACCTGCTAGGTATAAGGGAAGTAAACATAACCACAATGTTAACATTATTTAACGTGTTTGTAAACCCTAAACATGAACCTGTGTTATTTGCTCTCTTTTGGTCTGTTAAATATACTATACGCCATTATATCTATTGATGGTGTGCTTCCTCTTTGCATTTATTTGTCTCATGTTCATTGATATTGCTTCCTAGGCATTCTTGGAACCTCTTTATTCTGCATGTTTTGCTCTGTGTATGCTGTTTAAGTTCTGTGTTGTTTGCCATGTGTGCTCTTTGATGTGTGTGCTGGCCCTGCTGTACTGCCTGCACTGAGTGTGTTCTGTGTTCTGTTTGCTGCCTGTTTTCAACATTCTATTATTATTATTGCTCCTTTTATAGTGCTGTCAATTTACACAGCGCTTTACATCTGTATACTCACAGAAGTGAGTACTCCCCCCACATTTTTATAAATATGTTAATATATCTTTTTCATGTGACAACACTGAAGAAATGACACTTTGCTACAATGTAAAGTAATGAGTGTACAGCTTGTATAACAGTGTAAATTTGCTGTCCCCTCAAAATAACTCAACACACAGCCATTAATGTCTAAACCGCTAGCAACAAAAGTGAGTATACCCCTAAGTGAAAATGTCCAAATTGGGCCCAATTAGCCATTTTCCCTCTCCGGTGTCATGTGACTCATTAGTGTTACAAGGTCTCAGGTGTGAATGGGGAGCAGGTGTGTTAAATTTGATGTTATTGCTCTCACTCTCTCATACTGGTCCCTGGAAGTTCAACATGGCACCTCATGGCAAAGAATTCTCTGGGGATCTGAAAAAAATAATTGTTGCTCTACAAAAAGATGGCTTAGGCTATAAGAAGATTGCCAAGACCCTGAAACTGAGCTGCAGTACAGTGGCCAAGACCATACAGTGGTTTAACAGGACCGTTTCCACTCAGCACAGGCCTCGCCATGGTCGACCAAAGAAGTTGAGTGCATGTGCTCAGCTTCATATCCAGAGGTTGTCTTTAGGAAATAGACGTATGAGTGCTGCCAGCATTGCAGCAGAGGTTGAAGGGGTGGGGGGTCAGCCTGTCAGTTCTCAGACCATACGCTGCACATTGCATCAAATTGGTCTGCATGGCTGTTGTCCCAGAAAAAAGCCTCTTCTAAAGATGATGCACAAGAAAGCCTGCAAACAGTTTGCTGAAGACAAGCAGACTAAGGACATGGATTACTGGAATCATGTCCTGTGGTCTGATGAGACCATGAAAAACCTATTTGGTTCAGATGGTGTCAAGCGTGTGTGGAGGCAACCAGGTGAGGAGTACAAAGACAAGTGTGCCTTGCCTACAGTTAAGCATGGTGGTGGGAGTGTCATGGTCTGGTGCTGCATGAGTGCTGCCAGTACTGGGGAGCTACAGTTCATTGAGGGAATCATGAATGTCAACATGTACTGTGACATACTGAAGCAGAGCATGATCCCCTCCCTTCGGAAACTAGGCCGCAGGGCAGTAATCCAACATGATAACAACCCCAAACACACCTCCAAGACAACCACTGCCTTGCTAAAGAAGCTGAGGGTAAAGGTGATGGACTGGCCAAGCATGTCTCCAGACCTAAACCCTATTGAGTATCTGTGGGGCATCCTCAAACAGAAGGTGGAGGAGCGCAAGGTCTCTAACATCCACCAGCTCCATGATGTCATTGGAGGAGTGGAAGAGGACTCCAGTGGCAACCTGTGATGCTCTGATGAACTCCATGCCAAAGAGGGTTAAGGCAGTGCTGGAAAATAAAGGTGGCCACACAAAATATTGACACCTTGGGCCCAATTTGGACATTTTCTCTTAGGGGTGTGTACTCACTTTTGTTGCCAGAAGTTTAGAGATTAATGGCTGTGTGTTGAGTTATTTTGAGGGGACAACAAATTTTCACTGTTATACAAGCTCTACACTCACTACTTTACATTGTAGCAAAGTGTAATTTCTTCAGTGTTGTCACATGAAAAGATAGAATAAAATACTTACAAAAATGTGAAGGGTGTACATTCATATCAGTCCCTAGCCCTCAAGGGAAGTACAATCTAAGGTCCCTAACTTACATTCATTCATACACATACTAGGGCCAATTTAGACAGGATCCAATTAACCTACCATGCAGTGTACATTCTGTGTTGTTTGCTCTGTATGCCCTGAGCTGTGTGTGGTGTGCCTAGTGGTTATACTGCGTGTACTGCCTGTGCTGTGTTTGCTGTGTGTAGAATGGGCTGTGTGTTTAAAACATTCTGTGTATGGCATGTATTTTCTGTACTGTGTATGCTGTGTGCATTCTGTATTGTGCATGTTGTGTTCTCTCCATCTTATAATGGTGTGCTCCTTTATTTGCATTTATTCATCTCAATGTTTGCTGACATTTCTTCCTATGACATTACTTAAAGCTCTTTGTTATGCATTCTTTGCTCTGTGTATGTTGTATACTGTCTGTGCTGTTGGTTATGTATGCTGTTCTCTGTGTGTGCTGGTCTTAGGCAGGCAATACATTATTTTTTTTTTTTTTTTGTGTTTGTTTGTGTTCACGAAAAAAAAAAATGAACCAATTCCCTCCGTCCACAAGTTTGATGTGGATGGGAGAATCATTCCTGCTAAGCTATTGTAGGAGCCTTTCCCACTTGCAGAATACAACGATCAGTGTTGCTAGCTATAGCCAGCAGCCCTGATATTTCGGGAAAAAAAACCTGGCAGGCTGGTTGTACACAAGTTGACTTCTGTACAACCAGCTAGCCCATACAGTACATGGATCAAAATTTGGCCGGTTCAGCAGGGATCGATGTATGGCAAGCTTTAGTGTGTATAATGTGTGTACTGCCTGTGCTGTGTGTGCTGTGTGTCGTGAGAGCTGTGTGATATGAATGTTCTGTGTGTGATATGTATATGTTCTATCTTATGTATACTGTGTTCATTCTGTGTTGTGCATGTTTTGTTAACACCTTGCCATCCATGTTATTTGCACCTTTCTTGTGTGTGCCCTAGAGTGTATGTGTTTTGTGTTCTGTGCAGGGGCGGACTGACAACTCATGGGGCCCCCGGGCAATAGGGGATCATGGGGCCCCTGTGTCCTTGGCCAAACTCAAAAAAGCCTATGAAAAAGGTACCAGGGGCATCTCATTGGGCCCTCTACTGACCCCGGGCCCTCGGGCAGTGCCCGAGTTTCCAAATGGTCAGTCCGCCCCTGGTTCTGTGGGCAGTGTATCTGGGGTATGATTTATGATGTGAACTCTGTGTGTCCTTTGTATGCTATATGCATTGTATGTGCTCTGTATTGTAAATGGACACATTTCTACCTCCTTCATTTTCTGGGGGAACAATAATTTCAGAGTCAGTGGTCTCCAGTAATGGCCAGAGAAATGACATCACAATACTAAAGCAAAAGGGATTTAAGTCATGCATTCCATTTTAAAAAAAAACCCAAAAAGCATATAGATCAACAGGACAATTAACCTACCGAGCTGGCTTCCAGTTTCCCACCCTGCAGAGACTTTACTCTTACAAGTTGACTAACTGATCCACCGACTAGGATCTCCTCACCAATGTGATACTTCAAAAGATTCGAAAGCTCTTTGGCATTACCTTCAAAGCAACAAAAAATATATATTATACTTTGCTTTAAAACTGATATACTACAGGATACATTATAGTGCTCTTAAGCACCAATGCATGCAAATTCTAATTTATATATAGATTATTTTTGCATTGAAACATTTTTTTGTTTTTCGGATTGATCATGGCTCCAGCCTTAGTGTATACTTTTCATAAATGACATCAGAAGGTAAGTTATCAAGCAGTTTGATGAAGAACTGAGTCACACCAAAGTATTATTAGGGTCCAGCTGTAGAGTTAACTGGTCCTGATGTTTTTAGCACTGGCACTGTCTGCAAATACAACCACAAGCTTGGCTGAGAGAATTGCTTAGTTCAAATTTAGTTTAACATCTTCTTCAGCCGACTTTTGGTTTTCTGTTGTAAGTTAATTGGGTGGCTTTACACCTACCAGGTCACTTCCATACACACTGGAACATGCTTTCTTGCTGTTTCTGACTCCACCCCCCGCTGCCATGTATCCCAGGTTGGTTACCATGCCTTGGTGCCAGTTGGTAGAGCAGAGGGACATTAGCGAACATTCCCTATGGTGAATGAACCTAGAAACAACATGCATTTTGTAATTTTTGGTTTGCGAGCTATCAGTTCCCATCCTCTGTGGCCAAGGAAGAAGCTAATCAAGCCTGATCTGTGCTTGATTAGATTCCATGGAGTGCAGAGAAGACATTATTGGTTTAATAGTCCCCTGATGTCTCAATATTCAAGGTTCAAGAGAACCTTTTTTATTGTGCTATCACATGGGGGGGGGGCCTTGTCAACTCATTTGATAACAAAAAAAGTTATAACGTGTCTTCACCCCTCCCTTTCTCTACACAACGATGGCAGTTTTTTTTTTACCTTTTTTTTAAACAAACAGCGTAGCCCCACCCCTCTATTTGCCTAGGCGAATGACGTGCGCAGTGGTTGGTGAGCCTTCTGGGAAATGCATGTCATATATCCCAGGAGGTCTTTAGCCTTTCATTAATTCAGTGAGGGCAAGCCTAGCGGCATGTCATTGCAAGGCCCCGCTGGATGAACCTAGAACAGCTGACAGACCTCTCGACAATGTCACAAGTAAGATGGCAGTGCTGGACTGAGCGATGACTACTGACAGAAGGATATCCATGCTTGATCCATTTGCGGGGTGAGTATCCGAACTGTGCCTACAACACAACCCGGTTATACCGAGGGGGTATAAAAAAAAATGAGGGGGGCTGAAGGTCCGCTTTAAGTTAAAAAAAAAATTAAGCAAAGTTACAAAAAAAAAATTAAAACCCCTTGCATCCATGTACTATACACACATATGAATTTAAAAAAATAAAAAAATGTTGGGTGGGCATACATATAAATTGCATTAGACATATTAGGTTTTGCTACTCATGCAGGAATGAAAGCAATATTTCCTTCACAGTTAACTCTGACCTGTAAATACTTTTAAAACACTGCCTGATGACAATTTTAGGTACTGTAGTTTGTTGCCATATCACAGCTTTGTGCAAATTTAATGCTTAACATGTTTAGTATGTATACTCGATGTAACCTCATCTTTTATGTTTTACAAAAAAAAAAATGAGGTTATATACTGGGGTTGATTTACTAATAGCAAACAGTCTGTGCACTTTGCAAGAGCGGTAAATGTAATGTAGTAAAGCTTCACTTTGTAAAGAATACCCAATCAGGTGCAAGGAAAATAAAAATAAGCCTGCACATGATTGGATGATGGAAATCAGCAGAGCTTTAGCACATTTACTAAGCTCTTGGGGAAAATTAGCTGCACTTGCAAAGTGTACAGTCAATTTGCCATTAGTAAATCCACCCCCATTGTGTTTGTGTGCACTAAAATTAATGTTATTGTATTTTTTACTCAACAGTTACGATAATATTGTGTAGACAAAAAAATACCATTATTTTATTTTCCAGGGTTTCAGGCTTTTAGAATATATACTGTTTTTGGGGCTTAAAGTAATCTTCAGGCCTAAAATGTGCATTTTAATATGTGTGCAAAAATGCAAACACAGCTCTGGCAGTGAATGAGTGAAAGAGCCTTTTGGAAGGCTTAAAAAAATCCTGCCATCATCTTTTATATTAAGCGTGCAACAGCATGGCTACCCAGTAATACTTTTCTGTTTAATATCCAATATACTTGTCACTGTTGGAACATGCAAACAAACTGTAGGAAAATGCTGCTTGCCATGTTTGCCAAGCTGTCTGAGTCTGTTGTCTATCCCTGACTGCAATTTGTCATTGTCTGCATCAAGAAACTGTGGAAAACTGTATGTTGTTAGTGTAATTTGATAATGTCAGATAAATTCCAATTTAGGAAGCAGAAGACTATTGTTAAGTTTGGTCACTTTTTCATCACATAGAGTGAATGAACACAAGGCTTCTATACCAATATGTTGAATATTTTTGTTGCAGTAACATTCTTGACCATGGTAATGGAGAGACAATCGACAAAGTCAATATCTTCTTGCCAATAATCCTGTTAAATTCTTTTGTGCAAAGTAAACCGCATTCAAGAGATGACCATGGCTGGCAAGCATGGGAAAAAATGGTCAATCAAAAGACATATCAGTGTCTAGTCATTTTAACCTAAGAGAACCAGACATCAGAGGGAAGAAGATTCAGATGTCACCTGAGACTTTAGAAAAACACTGTTATTAAGAATGAATGTCCATTATTCTGTTGAGAATGCCATCTTAGAAAAAACCCCGTTTTGCTTACTTGATGACTGCTAGTTATGACTTGTGTGAATAGATACTATAGAGAAGAGGAAGACAGTTAAACAAAAACACTGTAAAAACAACATATGTTTAACAAAGGGAAGTTACAAATTCTTGCAACATCCCACTACAAAAAAAAAAAAAAAATCACAATTTATTAGTAAGTGATATGTCTGTAAAATATTGTTTTGTTCATGTATCAAAGCCTTTTATAGTTTTGGATAGGCTTTTATATGTATATGTGTAAATATGATTAAATTACATGAATGAGATCTTACATTCTTTTATTTTTGATGAATTATTATATAAAATGTTCATGTTATGTTCTTGCCCTGCAGAAGGGGGATATATAACCCCTGAAATGTGTTGCCTGTTGCACTCAGTATATGTCTGATTTAAAACCTTACTTTGGACTATAATACTATGGTGTGCAGCTTTGATTTTTAGATTTAAATGCAATCTTTATACCCGAGGTTCCTGTGGTACTACCAAAGGGACACCATCAGAACAGCATTGATACAATTAATTTTAAGTACTAAAGTGTGACTTAGGCAGGCCATAGATGGGTCGAAAATCGGCCAAAAAGTCGTCCAAAAGAATAATTGGCCGATTTTCGGATCATTAGTGGGTGAATTTGTCGACCCTTTTTCGTGATTTTGACACATTTTTTAAATCGGTCATGTTGGAAAAAAAACGGCTGATTTTGTCGATTGGCTGATTTTCACGACAATAATGGGCAAATTGGCCGATCTTTTTACCGATTAAAAAAAATGCGCACGAGCCGTGACCTGCAAGAACAAGGAAAAGAAGAAAAAGAAGATGAAGACAAAGGAAAAAAGAAGAACATCTGTATCCATTTGTATCCATTTCAGATACAGATGTTTCTATGCAGATACAAATAGATACAATGTTGCAACCGCAATACTTTTAAATGTCAAAACTAATAGCGGAGTGTCCCTGCAGAGAGCTCTGCTATTATATTTGACATTTAAAAGTATTGCGGTTGCAGCATTGTATCTATTTGTATCCGAATAGTAATTTGTATCTGTATCTGAAATGGATACAAATAGATACAATGTTGCAACTTTGCTATACTTTTAAATGTCGAATATAATAGCGGAGCTCTCTGCAGGGACACCGCTATTATATTTGCTGGCCGTAGACGGGACGAAAATCAGCCGATTTGTTTTTTACCAATGGTGGTAACATTGGCCGATTGAACAACCGATTTTTCGTGTTTTAAAAAAAAACAGCCAGTTTTCGCCTCGTCTATGGCCTGCCTTACTCAAGGTTCCATCAATTAACTACTCTAATAATGCAAATAAGAACAGAACAGTGCACAATATATTTGTGGCAGTATGTCTGTGAGTAGAATGAAGTGATACATTGATAACTATGCTGAAAAAAAGAACAGCCACATTACAGCAGCTATATGGCAGCATGTTAGCCAAGTGGTTAGCACTCTTGACATGCCACTAGGGATGTTATCTGCATGGAGTTGATTTTTTGTGCAAGCTTCTTCTGGGTGTTCTAATAAACATATGCAAACAAGACCTCTGTTTAAAAACCAAATAGAACAGTTTGCTAGCTGTATTTACCATTTACATCACTGATAGAGGATGTAAAGAGTGCAAAGCCCCACACAGGCTTGAGTCAATGGGAGCATGGTTTGTCTTCATCTGAGGTCTGCATGACAGCTGGGAAATATTATATGGAGGAGGATAAATAGCCAGTTTATGGCTACCCTCTAAAGTATTCTTGGAGGAGGAAAAATTTCAGAGGACAAAATGTTTTTGTTATTTAGGTTACACTGGGTTGCTGGAGTATAGGAGATCAGGAACAACTTTTTTTTTTAAATCTCCTTTTGCCTCTATGTTCAGTTTGCCTCTGACTTTACTAAGATACAGTGGACAAATGCAAAATCTGATGTAAATCAATGGCAGGCTCCAATATCAATAACTAAACTAACTAACTAGACAAAAGTGACCAGATATTAGGGTATTTTATGACTAATACACTGAGTAGATTGTTACATATTTAAAGTGTAAAGTTAAAATTAGATATGAGGTATTAGAACCCCTGCCATTTTTAGTGCTGATTTCTCCATTGGTGAAGCTGACTCCTCACTGTTACTGAAAGTGATGGAAAAATCCAAAATTTAGAGTTATCACTAGAACAAAATCAGACTTGACATTTTCCAATGGCAACACTAGTTCAATTGTCAACAAAGGAATTTAATTAATTTTAACCACTTGTCCTCCAGAGTATTTACTCTCCTTCCTGGCCAGGCCATTTTTCGTGATAAAGCACAGCGTAACTTTAAGTGACAATTGCGCTGTCATGCAACACTGCACCCAAATAAAATTTATGTCCTTTTTTCCCACAAATGGAGCTTTCTTTTGGGGGTATTTTATTGCCTGTGCGGTTTTTATTTTTTGCACTATAAACAAAAAAAGACCGACAATTTTGAGAAAAAAACAATATTTTTTACTTTTTGCTATTAAACATGTCCAGCAAAATTGTATTCTGCTACATGTCTTTGCTAAAAAAAAAAAATCCCAATATGTTTAAAATAATTGGTTTACGTGAAAGTTATAGTGTCTACAAATGAGTGTATATATACTGGAATTTTTTTTTATACTAGTAATGGCATCAATCAGCGACTTATTGCAGGACTGTGGGACTGCAGCAAGCATTCTGACACTGGGGGGGGAACTGACTAACTGTCACTGACATCCCCAGTGACACTAATACAGTGATCAGTGCTAATCAAAAGCACTGACACTGTACTAATGGCACTGAACAGGAAGGGGTTAACATCTGGGACGATCAAAGGGTTAACTGTGTGCTGTGTGCTATTTTACTGTGTGCTGTGTGTGTGTTTCACTGTGTCAACACATTGATTTGCATTGCTCTGCTATGTAGAGCAATACAAACCAATGTGCAGGACCTGACAGGGAAGAGATCTGTATTGTTTACATACAGGTCTCTCTCCCATCAGTGATACTTGGCTATCGCTGGGTGCCGGTAGGGAATCACCAGCTGGGCCTGGTGCTCAATGGCTGAGGCCACCAATGGGCTCTACCCAAAAATGCAAAGTCACGTATAAATACTTGATTTTGCGCAGCCCTGCCACCCTGTAGCAGTATTTCTGCTCTAGGGCAGCGGAAAAGCAGCTTAGATATTTTGCCAACTTTTTGTTGTGACTAAAGGAGAGGAAGTAATGGAAAATGGCATAGATGGGACACAGAATGCAATAAATAAACTGCCATGGGATTTTAACCATTCCCTGCTTTATCCTAAATGAAAATAAAAAAGTAGTATGGCTTTGGATATTGGTTAATTAACTGAACCACTGTTTGAATAGTTTGCTGTGTTCTAACTATGTACTAGCAACTGAAATGATAGAATACTGGTTTTGCTGTAAATGCTCTGTATATTCCTGGTGTCCTCTATGCCTAATTGCAAACAGGCATAAGCTGTACTGAATTAGCAATCATACGCAAGTATAGTATATCTGGCTAATCTGGAGAAAATGTAAACCATGCATAGACACTTTTTTTGCAGCTTTCTGTGAAAAGCAATCAACATGCTACTTGAATCCATCTTTGCTGTCAGTTTGGCTTAATCACTGACTGGATTTAGACCTCACGCTACGCATTTTTATGGACCCCTCCAGCAGTGTCATATTATTTCTTGCCTAGACAGTCCCATTTCACAGAAGGTTAGTATGGTAACATTTTTCCCATTAAAGTGTCAAGCTCGTATTAAAATACTTGATCTACAATGATTGCTATTCTTTAGCTTATGGATTTGTGGCTGTTTAGACTTGCTGTTGGAAATAACAAATATTGCACTGGTCGCCTCACTGTGATTGCAAGATAGTAACAAATTATTGACTAATGTTTTCAATAGGTGTCTATACCATAGTTCATCCACTGCAGGCAGCCTACGATGTCTCCTATGTATACAATGAGCACAAATGTCCCTGTTTAATAACATTATACAAATAACAGCGCCAGTCAGCAACCGATAATTGGTAGTCAAATATCTACTTTCTGCAATTTAGTTAATTTTACACAAATTAACCATAGTTTTTTTTTAATTTTTATTGGCTGTCAGTGTTTACATATTACTTTTTGCATTTCTTAAAGACCAATTGCAATCAAAAAGTTAAATTGGTTAATGAGCTGCTCATTTTAACATGGCGGCTATGCTAAGTCAGAAAGTTAAATTCACTTGTCTTTTGCAGTGGATGTGTTTTGCAATTCATCTCTTACATTACCAACACAGAACCTCAGATCACCAGATTACTAAAAAAAGAAAACAGAGTGGCCTGGTGCACCACAACCATGCCTGAAGTAAAAAATGAATATGTAGGCTGAGCTCTATGTATGCATTTGAGTGTTTATTTTCAATTCTGGCTGTAGGTGCACATTCAAATTAAGATAAAAAATGATTTTTTATACAGTCAATGGTGGAAACCCAATGTTCAAATATCAATACCCCATTAAAAGAAATGATAACTGACACTTTAGATTTATTATGTGGAGAAAGAATAGGCTTCACTAAATTCAGGCAGGGTTCCTCGCAGCAATACCTCTAAAAGAGCACACTACTTTGTCATAATGACATTCTCTGCTGTATGCTGGCAGCACCTGTCAAAGTGATGTTCTGCCAGGCAATGCCTGCATAGTTTTGTTGTGATGCCACTCTGCACAGACACAGCAGAACACCAATGTAAAAGGGGGCATTCACCAATAAATACCATGGTTATGGAGGCACAGTGTGTGTGTGTTTTAAATAAATAAAATATATAACATTTTTGAATTACAAAGGGGGCTTTCAGATTCCTATAAGTCCCCCCCCTCCACAAACCCAGACATCATCTTTGGGACTGGATGTGGAGAAGAGGAACTTCTCCCCTGAACAAGGGGATAAGGTGCTTAGCTACAAGGGCTTTACCCAGCCTACAATCACATTTGGTCCATGACATTACTCAGGTCCTCATCTTGTTTGTTTACACACTATTAGCCATGGATCTGTTATTTAATAGTATTAGTTTGGTGAGGCAACATCATCAGGCAGAGGAATATCAAGAGTGATAACTGATCTAAACTGGTGTGTGAATTGATTGTGGAGGATTTACTTTTGGGGAATATTGTTCACAGAATCTTTAATGCCAATACTTTTTTTTTACATTGCGTGTGCTTATTTCCATTTTACCTTTTGGGGGAATGGGTAATAGGGGACTAATGTACCCAATATTCATTCCCCCTGGGGGGAGGGTTGGAGCAGGATATCTAATATTTAGGGGACCACTTAAAGTACCCCCACACGCAAATCTTCACATACTTTTGGGGACTGTGGTGAAGAAGCCCTTGTCCCACATCACTGAGAGAAGATGCCTTTCAAAGGGTGAGAGGCCTGTTAAAAGGTATGTGGCCTGATATGGTTCAAAAGAGGGATGAAGGGCTCACATTTACTGGCCTTCCTTTCTTGGCCATCTACGCTGTATGACTGGATAAGCCTCTGGTCTGAATTTGTAAGGCGAACCCCAAGCACTTTTTCTGTGATTTAAATGTCACTTTTAAAGGGATACATTGTTCCATGCAGTTTTAGGGCCTCTCCCAAGCATGTTTTTAAATGATTTCTGTATTTTCAATGTTGCCCGTTCATCCCACTGGATGCTATTTGTTTTATTTTTTTTTTTGTTGGCACATGTCCCCCATATCAGTGTCCAGCTACTCATGCCTTTAGCTTGCAAATTCAGCCCCCATAGACTTCAGAGCTACGTTCAGGGTTTGTGGACTTTCTGCTAGGTTCTCCAAACCTCTCTATATAGCCCTGAAAATTAATGCAGAACTTTACATATATATTGTATGTTCACATCAATCCCTGCCCTCAAGGAGCTTACAATCTAAGGTCCCTAACTCATAATTCATACATACCTATACTAGGACCAATAACCAATTAACCTACCAGCATGTCTTTGGAGTGTGGGAGGAAACCAGAGTACCTGGAGGAAACCTACACAGGCACAGGGAGAACATGCAAACTCCCAGCAGGTAGTGCAGTGGCGAAGATTCGAACCAACATCCCTAGTGCTGCTAGGTGGAAGTGCTAACCACTTAGCCATTGTGCTGCCCCAGTTTGTTTTTCCCTATACAAATCAACAAATAGGCAGTAGCAGAGATGGAAATAAAAACAGCATGATAGACAACAAACAAAAAGCTGGCATGGAGGTAAAGCCAAGGAAGAAGTGAAAAGAAACTAAAGCACAACTAGCACAGGAATCACACAGAAAGCCAATAAAAGCAAGATGGAATCCAGATGGATTGTTTCAATAGCATTCCTGTCTTTTGAGTGACTGCTTGGTAATGATTGCTTACTATTTGATACATTACTTTGCATGTAGCTAACACTAGCGATGACAGTTTTTTATTATCAGTAATGGAACAAGTTAACATTTTACTTACCAACCTTTTAATCTAAGGAAACATGAAGTGGTCCTACTTTACCAGTAAGAAACCAGCAGCAAATCTTCTTGACCGGATTTCACTTTCATTATGCATACACAATTTGGATGCTTTCCATTTAATTTATGGAATATATTTTAAGCAATGCATTCTCTGTGTAGCTTGTTGAAAGCTCAAGCCACTATGCATACCTAACAATCTGTTTAATTCTGCTCTTGGGAGAGCGCGGAAAGCTTCATCTGTTGGAGCGAAGACCGTGAAAGTGCCTTCTCTGTTCAGTGTCTCAGTAAGTCCAGCAGACTGGATTGCAGCCACTAATAAGCTAAAAAAAAAAAAAAAAACAAGCGTGAGACTAGCTTTTTAGGACATCATTTTAAAAGAAGTACATCACCAGACCCAAAAGAATCCCTTCAGAATATCATTGGCTAAAAGCAAAAAGTTAAGGACTACATTTAAAGCTGGAGATTAATGGATATTAAAAACATAACTACAAATCCAGCACAATGTTGTTGCTTTCTCTGACTGACCCAAGTTGTAACTTATGCAAAAATTGAGCTTGCACTCCACATTTGTTTAGAAAGCGTCCCATATTCATTAATTTGTAAACAAAATGTGCTGTAGAGAAAGTTTTTTTTAGCATACAGACTGGGAATTTGGGTAAGAAAATGAATTTTGTTTGGTAAACTAAAACTTACTAAATGCATCTTTTTCAAGATAAATGCTAAAATATTGGAGGGTTTATGACCCTTGAGACCTAAATTGGATGCTGCTGTAGAGAAAAATAAGCTAGAAGGAAGGTATACATATGATTCAAGATAAAGCACTTGATTTTTTTTTTTAAGAAAATTGCAGAATGATTTGTGGGTCTAGGGATTGTCATTAATATAACTATACAACTCCCAATATTAAAATGTGACATAAGTAATCTTAACTGTAGCAACCAACCCTTCACACAAAACTTCACAAAGTTTCACATTTTAAGAACAAAGGAATTTGTACCTGAAGCGATTATCAGCTTTAAGAACATCCATTACATTTCCTGATGGTGGAGTCAACAGCTTGTCAACAATAAACATTGTGCCATATCTTCCCTTTTTGTCATGTGCATCAATACAACTGTTTTCAATGCAAAGAGCCTATAAAAGATGACCAGGTCAATCCATGCAACATTCATGAACAATAACACTTTAGAGCAGTAGTTCTCCAAACTGCAACCCAGGGTCCAGATGTAGCCCTTTGCTTGCCTTTAGCCAACCCTTGGGGCCCTACTCTTCCAACTGACACCAAATGATGGGACATCATTCCTCTCACTAACAGCACCAATAGGCCACTATTCCTTCCAATGATAATCTGTGATTTAAAGCAGTGCACTACTATCTATGAGTGCATTTGCTCTGTGAGTGTATTTTGTATTGGTTTAATGCATTTTCATGGTGGCTTTAAATGATAAATCACTATGTATAGTCTCTTGTCTTATCTGTCTAACTGTGGAGGACAGTATATCTGGGTGAGCTCATGATATGGACTAATCCTCAAAAGCCATCGGAGGAAGGACGAGGAAATATTCTGTTAACCGTTTAATCCCCGCAAAGGGTAAAGCACATGGTGACCTGCATATAGGTCAAAAGCTAAGGTGAGAGCGGAGAGTGAATGGTGGTGGGAGAGTCACTGGAGAAAACATCACTCTTTATTTGCTCATTTGTTGGAACTGTTTGATTGAAGGAATAAAGTTGTAATTTAGATGTTTTTCACTATTATATAGGGGTGACTCTACTCCTTTATGATAGCATCATGTATACCATAATTGTATAATGGTTATATGTCACAGATCAGTGGCAATTAGTGGATACAATCAAGTTTGCAATACTGTCATTATTTGCAACATCAAATTGGTGATGGGACTGTCTTGTCATTTTTAAGTTATACATTGTTTTTAAGATATATATTCATTTACGCACAGGTAAAGTTCAGTTGATTTAGGTCAATAATGGGTTATAATGTAAGCACATATTATTTAGTTTTGTATACTGGTTTGTTTTGTGGGGTCACTAATAGTGCATTGCAGCAACATTATACATAAGGTACTAGATATTTGATTTCTTTGTTGTTGCACAGGGAATTTATATTATTACTAATGATGGGGCATTGCTTGCTTTCACTGACCATGGTCCAGCCCTCCCAAAACCTAAAGGAAAGTAAACTGGCTCTTTGCTTAGAAAGTTTGGAGACCTCTGCTTTAAAGTAAACCTGTGAGTTTAGTGTATGCACAAAAATGTTATTTACATATTCTGAACAAGCAGTACATTTACTTTAAAACAAGCCATTATTCACCTCTGTAGCAATAGGCATTGTGGAGAAATTTACTTTAAAAATCACAACAAAGGCACTGAATTCTTAACTCTTTTCCTATTACCTTCTATTGCAGCATAATCTTGTCTGTCTACCAGTTTATTGTAAACACACATCATGTATTTTAAAACTGAAAGAGACTTTAGAGTGTTTTCTGTGATCTATGAGGATATTTTAGAATGCCATGTAAGCAGTTAAAAAGATCAGGATTGGTTTGTTCTAAGCTCTTTTACTACGTGGTAATAATATATAAATACTTTCTTGTCTAAAGCCTGGCACAGGTGCACTTTAAACAATGGAAATGCAGTATCAGTTCTGAAAGATTTTATACTGTAGGGATAAGCACCTGGTTTGGTCTGAACCCAGGCTTGCACTAAAGTTTGTGTGTTTATGTTTATGGGGCACCACTACAGCTGCTATATATGAGAGCTTCTTTCTTCTCTTTCAAGGATTATTAAGCAAATAGCAGATGCTGGGAATTATATCACCCGCCCCATTCACTTGCTAGTCAGGGATACCCAGCCATGTAAAAAAAAGGGAAGGGGATAGGGGCTGCCATCATTACCCAAATATGGCCAAAGCCAGCCACTATCCCTGCACTTTTGTTTACATTCCAGATGAAAGCTTGGGGAGTTATTTGCACATGGTAGTCAGCAGGTATGAACAGTTTAATGTGTTTTTTGATTCATCGGATGTTGTTTGTCATAATTGACTTGGATCTACATCACTGGATGACATGATTGATGATGGATCTATATTTTTTAATAAAGGATTTAAAGAAAGTGTGTGTGTGTGTTTTCAATAAAGTACTTTTTCTAAATTAAGTGTTAATTTACTTTTCAACTTTTTCTTTTCTGTGAGTTAATAAGCAGGTACAATGTGCTCTTTACTTAATAATGTGGGGGGTTGTATCTATGGGACACCCTATTTTAAAGGGGGTTTTCAGATTCTGATAAGTGACCCACCACAGAACTGCAACCGCTGGACAAGGGTTGTGGGTAGGAGGCCCTTTTCTTCATCAACATGGGGACAGCTTGCTTTGGGCAGGTGGGTCGCCCTGGCAAAACACCCACCCAATTCTGGGGGCATGTGGCCTGGTATGGCTAGGGAGTCAGGTAGGGTGCTTGGTGGTCCCGTCTTTCTTTGTCTGGCAGACTGTGGGCTTGGATTAAGGTTCTGGTAATGGATTTTGAAGGGACCCCATACTGTATTTTGCTGGGTGAAACTCTCCTTAAAATCCATACCAGATTTGGTGGTCTGGTTATGTATTTTGGAGGGAACCCCATGTCATTGTCTTTTTTTTTTTTTTTTTTTTTTGCAATGTTTTTGCTTTAAAATGTACAGAAGCAAAAGTGTAATTTAGAAAGAAAAAAAAATTAAATTGCAGTAATTGACATTTCCCTGCTATCTTTTTTTTGTGAAAAACAACACTGGAACCCCCCCAAAATACATACCTGACTCTTAAGGTCTGGTACGCATTTGGGGGGTCCAAAGAGGTCTTGAGGCCATTTGTTACAAAATAAAAGAAACTAACAGGGAATTGTTAATTGCTGCAATTTAAATAACTTTCTTTCTTTTTATTTTTCTCTACATTTGTACAGATGTACACAGACAGGCTTAGGACACCACCAAACATGTTATTAAAATCTGAACTCCCGGATAAGCAAATATTTTTTAAATACATTCCACATGTGTATTCTTATTTGAATCTTGCTGCGCTTTGTGTATTTGTTCCATATCTATGCAGTAATCCATTGTGAAACTTTACCTCTGTGCAGGAACTTACTGTAATAAAGACCAGCCACTGCTGCTGTCTTTTCTTGTGCAGGGTGACTGGTCTTTGTCATTCGCCAGCTGGCGGATTGACAAGATCTGTAAATGTTAAATAGCTGCAGCAAATAATAATCAGGTCTCCAGCTCTGGCAGCTAAGACTTTACAGTGTAGCAATCATGTGTAAAAATCAGGACTAGGTGGAGAGAAACACAACTCCTTTGGCAGGTAAAACCGATTGTTTCTATGTATGTTATCCATGTAATTAGCCATTTTCCTGGAGTTTAGCTTTAATTAACCAGTATCCATAGAAAAACATATACACTTTTGTGGAAATATCAATAGTGGCATTTATAAGACATTAAATTAGAAAACGGGTCAGTCATTCATGAAATCTTGTCACCACATTTTACCACCATGATAAAAATATTTCAGTTATAATTATTTTATTCTGGTACTCATATACTGTAATTAATTGTAAATGCAAGCAGGGGCGGACTGACAACTCATGGGGCCCCCAGGCAACAGGGGATCATGGGGCCCCTGTGTCCTTGCCCAAACTCAAAAAAGCCTATGAAAAAGATACCAGGGGCATCTCATGGGGCCTCCTACTGACCCCGGGCCCTCAGGCAGTGCCCGAGTTTCCAAATGGTCAGTCCGCCCTTGAATGCAAGTAAGTTATATCTTCCACGTGTTACTGACAAAGAGACTTAAAGGAAATCAATAATTCTGAAATATAAATAATAAATACTTACATTCCGGTATACAAATACTCTCAGTTTTTTTCCACCAACTGTTTCCAAAACTTGACCATGATAAAGATATTTGGAAGAAAGCTGATCTTTTATAATGTGATTCTGAAGTAAATTGGTCATGTCTTTGTCAATGTTCGGTGCTCCATCTAAGTACAGAAGTTGTAGCATTTATTATTGAGCATCAACACTAAATATAACTCCAAACATTAACTTACTTTCAATTTAATGTATACCTATAACAGAGATTCAGAAGAAATAATTGCTCAGGATCCCACTGTGGAAAAACATGCAACATATTTGCTGCTGGCCACCATCAAAATGTTGAGCAATAGCTTCTCCAGTCCGCTACAAGGCCATTGTAATGGATGATTTGCCTAAGGGAGTTGGGTTGGGAGGTGTGTGATCTTATTTTGTCATATAGCAAGATACCCTTTGTGCACTGAGGTCGACTTGTAAGTTGGAGACATGATGTAAGGATGTTATTCCACTGCATAGCTTGGTGTCATCTGCAAAGGCTGAAATGGTATTTTTAATCCCAGACCCTATATCATTTATAAAAATATTAAAAAGTAATGTCCCAACATTGAACCTTGGGGTACACAACTAATAACCTTAGACCATTCAGAGAAAGAATCATTAATTACTACTCTCTGAAAAGCCAAGTTTCTATCCATTTAAAACTGAATTTTTTTAAGCCTGTAGAGTTTAGTTTACAAATTAGCCGCATGTGGAGAACTGTGTTAAAAACTTTGGCAAAATCCTAGTGTACCAAATCCACAGCCACTCATTTGTCTAAATTTTTGCTTACCTCCTCATAAAAAGAAATTAGATTTATTTGACAACTTTGCTCTTTCATGAATCCATATTGACTATTGCTTAAAATATTATTATCTATCAACAACTCTTCTACCTGATATTTAATTAAATTCTCGAGTATCTTCCCAATTATAGAAGTTAAACTAACCAGTCTGTAGTTACTTGATAATGACTTTGATCCCTTTTTAAATATAAGCATCATATTCGCCTTGCACCAACCCAGTGGTACTTTGTCAATCATTAAAGAATCTCTAAAAATTAGAAACAATGGCTTAGATATAACATAGTTCAGCTTTTTAAGGACCATTGGGTATAAGCCATCTGGTCCAGGTGCTTCCTTTGCCTTTATTTTCTTTTAATGTTTCTGGACTATGTACATTTTGAGCCTTTGTGGATCATTTTGGGCTATGTCAGTACTACAGTATCCCCATTAATTACTTGAGCTTCCCCATTGTTCTTTGTATACACAGAGCTGAAGAATGTTTTTAATAAATTAGCCTCTCTATTCCCCAGTAAACCACTCAAAATTATGTAGGAAACAGCCTAGCTACATGCTCAAACTTGACCTTTTTACTATTATTATATCTGAAGAATTTATTTGGGTTTGTCCTGCTCTCTTTCGCAACCTGTTGTTTGTTTAAAATTTTTTTTTCATTTTTTGGCACAGATACTTAGAAGCTTAGAAGGACCAACTGAAAGGTATCTTCTGATAGGGTTACGTTATTCAACAGCCTGGGCAAGTGCAGCATGCCCCTACTATAGAGTGATTCTCAAAGGAGATTTTGGATCTTTGGTGCTGCCTAGGTGAAAACACTAAAGCTGAGATAAGGTTAATACGTATTTCATTTATCTTCTAATTTTTTTTAACTTTTTTTCTCTAGCATGGAAAAGGGGTGGGCTAAATAGTGGCACTTACTGTACACACTGGTGCAATATCCACTGTAAGAAGTCTTCTGATAGCATGTATGATTACCAAAACCTCCTTCTTTGTCTAAGGGTTTAGCTAACAAAAACCTTCATATTCACATTAAAAAGAAAGAGATAATGTGAGCAGCTTATGTGCAGGTTTTTTTAACTGGTAACATATTATTTTCTGTGTCATTCTTTGAACAATGTGTCTTTATGCTTTATGAGTATGCTGTCATTGCTTAGGCTGCTGGCTGGATTTCCTTCCCAAGCCAGATTTATTTCTAAGCAGACGACACAAAGAAGACCTCTTTTGTAAAGTTCTTGAGATGCTGAACAAAGATGGTCAGGATAGCAATCACTATTTTACAGCTGTTTAAATATTTTATGGCAATATTTTCACATTTCAGGATATACTTTGTACTGACTTTCATGATGAGAACAACAGATGCATCGTCCTATACCAACCTCTAATTTGAGGTGGTTGAAAACCCTATTGCTTTCAAATGAAGGTGCCTCCCTGTATTAGTGCAAACTGTTCTTTTTTTTTTTTTTAAAGAGATTTTTATTGGATTTTTACAGAGTATATATAACACTAATGAAGTAATGAAATATGACATCAATGTAACATCGAAGCATCCTCAACAGTGGCCAGGGGAGTATTGAGAGAGGATCGTAAAGAAAATGGTGAGGAAATAGGATGTATGTAGAGAGAAGAGTTAAAAAGCTAGAGAGTAGAATTAGAATTGGATGAATGAGGTGTACACGGCTGTCAGGTGTTATTCATCCTTAACAAATACAAATATAGAGGGGGGGGGTAATGAGAGAAGAAACAATTATAGTTTTATTAACTGGGGCTAGAAAAGGGGGTAGGGGGGGAAATAGAGCAGAAAGAAAAACTGAGAGTGTAAGGGGAGAGGATAAAGAGTAGATGTAATAAATGAAGTAGTTCAGTGACGGAAGATAGTGGTAAAAGATGATTGAAGGGCTGTGTCGGCTGGAGTAGAGGAAAATACTAGGAGATGGAGATGTTGTCCAGGGACCTATTGGGACTACAGAGAGATGGTGGAGAGAGAGAACAGAGAGGAGAGAGGACTAGAGATAGAGACTAGAGGGAATAGAGGGAAGTTATCGGGCGCGGGATCCGCCTAGGGTAGAGTGGAATGAAGGACATGTCAAACTCCAGTTGCATGATGTATGCTTTTGCGACCTTGTGAGAGCCTTGTATATGTACGAACCTAAAGTAAAAGGTGAATCAAAGGGCAAGATATAGATGAGGAAGAAGGTAAAGGAAAAGTGCAGAAAAGTGGAGAGAAAGCCAGTACGATAAAGAGAGTTCCATTTAGTGGCATAGCTATCAAACCCACAAATAAGCGCTCAATAATACCAAGGCTTCGGGGACACGGGACTCGTGGAAAATTACCATGGACGGCTCAAGATGCTGAAATTCTGGAGAAAGAAAGACTGCTCTGGTGCGAGCATGGATCCTGTGATGTAGAATTTCCATTTCCGTAAATAAAGAGACTCCTTTGAAGATGTCGGTGAAGAGATTAAATCAAGTCTGTCAAGGCGTAAGAGAGAGCTGAGCTCTTGTTTGATGTCTGATAGAGTCGGAGGGGAGTTGGAGATCCATTTACGGAGATTAGTACGTCTTGCTATTAGTAGGCATGTGGATATCCAGGGTTTGTTATTTCTGAATGAAGATGTTTGAGAAGAGAAGAAACCGATAGCTGGTTGATCCATGTATCCAAAAAGAAGAGGTAGCGGGTGGATGGGGAGTTGAAAGGTAGTGATACTTGATATGAAGTTGACCACTTGCTTCCAGAATGTGGAGATAATAAGACAGAGCCATAGTCTATGGTGTAGAGAAGGTTTTTGCTTTCCACAAAGAGGGAAAGTAGACAGTTCCGGGTCGTTCCTTGAGTATTGACAGGGCATGTAGGCACGGTTTAGGAGTTTGAGTTGCTGTTCATGCCAGAATTCATTGTGGTTGAAGGCACATGTGGAGTTGAAGCCTGTTCAGCTGTAAAAGCATCAAAATCTTTGACACAAGATTTCGCAGGATTGTATGACTCGAAGGGTTTGGTGTATAGTAAGTTCAGGGGTCTGTATATAGATGATATTTTATATTTTTGAGAGTTCGCCAAGGCATCAAGGAATGTTGTACAAAATCTATTAGATTTGATGGGTGCAATGGAATTGACGTACTTCCTTACTTGGAGGATATAGAAGAAGTGGTGTGCTGGTAGTTCATAGGTTTGTAGAATTTCGTTGAGAGGTTTTGGGGAACCCGTAGAGGTGTCATACAGGTGTTGTACCAGAGTTAAATTTTTATTTGACCAAGTTTAGTAAGCATCATAGGATTGCGGGGGATATGCTATTGCAGATTCAATGTAGTAGTTGGAATATTTGGAGGAGTGATTGAGCCAGTCTAAACCCTAAACCAACACGTAGCATGCAGGAGAGATTGTAGAGTCGCACATTTGGGAGGCCAGAGCCTCCTTCGCTTTGTGGTAGAATTAATTTGGCGAGTGCTACACAGGGACGTTTGGCTCTCCATAAACATTTTGAGAGAGCCCGATGTAATTTAGTTATGTCACTGTGTTTGAGAAGGAGAGGTACGGTTTGGAGAGGATAAAGAAGTTTTGGGAAACTCACCATCTTAAAAAGATGTGATCTGCCCAAAAGTGAAAGCGGTAATTCCCTCCACATTTCCAGTTCCCCAGTGATTTTAGCAATCGTTGGCGTGTTGTTAAGCGTGTATAGAGAGCAAGCTAATTTTCCTATTTTTATGCCTAGATAGGTGATATGTTTATGAGCAATTTTAAAGATCGAGTTTTGAGTCCATAACAGAGGGCGAGATTGACATAGTGGGAGTACCTCACTTTTAGAAAAGTTTATTCGGAGTCTTGAGCATAAGCGGAAGGAGGAGAAAATCTGCTGTATGTATGTCAAGTCTAAGGATGGGTGAGAGGGGAAGAATAAAATATCATTGCAAATAAAGCAAGTCTCAACTCCTGTTGACCAATTGTGATACCATGGAGTTCAGAGTGGAATAACAGAAAGTGTGCTAATGGTTCCAGGGCCAGGTTGAAAAGTGAAGGGGACAAAGGGCATCCCTGTCTAGTGCCCTTGTGCAACTGAATTGGGTTAGATATGAGGCCAGCTACTACCACTTGAGCTGTTGGGGATGAATACATGGCTTGGATCAGATGCATAATAGGGCCCTCAAATCGAAACTTCTGTAATGCTAAGAAAAGCCATTCAAAATTAACATTGTCGAATGCCTTCTCGCGTCTAATGAGACAATTGCTGAATCTAGAGATGTGCCGCTAGAGGCTTGGTTCAATACCGATATCACTTTACGAATATTCGATGTCGCAGATCGACCCTGTACAAAACCTGCTTCTGAGGGATGTATGAG